CATCACAGGGTTTCTGAAACCAACACCAGAAACGTAAGACCAATGTGATCAGAGATGGCTCAGGTACTGGCCTGTCTCATGCTGACTGAGTCAAGATCCAGCATAAGGTATATAGATGGTATAGTAGAGGGAGAGGGAGCAGGATATTAGTGAGAATGTTGCATTGTATTTGAGTGATACACCGACAGACCCGAATACAACGCGAGATAGGGTGAGGTGTAAGAAATGGATCTGAAGCTGATGCCTTTGAAAATTGTCATGCATAAACTTGTAATAATTGGTCATGTAAACCTTTTCTTGAAGTTATCTGAGAAATATGGCAAAGTATTTAGTGTCAAGCTAGGACCCACAACTACAGTGGTGCTGACTGGCTACGAAGCAGTGAAGGATGCCCTCGTGAACAATGCAGATGAATTTGGAGAAAGAGCACACATCCCAATATTTGAAGCAACTTTAAAAGGACATGGTAATTTACATCTTTAGCTTCACTGTTGTAAAATTTGTGAGTTAAAATCAGGCTGTATAATGTCACTGTTCGGATAATGAATACTTCGCATGATTTGACAAAGATTAGTTTTTTTTAAAGCGTTATGTTTCAAAAACCTTCAGAAAATGAAAAGAAAACAGATGAATAACAATGTTCAGTAATTCCCTGCAATTTCTAAAACATATGGTTGTATTTAATTGTGCAATATCTGAAAATGATAGCTGTTATATGACCATTCGTGATGTTAACATGGGGATGTTTAGTAACTGCATTTGGCATCCTATTTTGCATGATTCTTACAGAGATACTAATAAGAGGTTTAGTGATACACAAAGGTTATATTGGAGGATTGGGAACATAACTTGTTCTGACACTAAGTGAGACCTTGGATCATGTGTAAAATAACTTACCTTTGCCTTATGTTTCTGAATACCTTTAGTGAACAGAAGCCTATTGACCTCTATTTTAAAATTAATAATTGACCCAGTGTCAACTGAGATTCCTGTTACATGAAGCTAGGTAGGAGGAGGCTTGTGTCGAAATTAAATTCTGGCGGAGACCATCTGGGCCAAATAACTTATTTCTGTGTTGTAAATTCAATACAGGTTTGTACTTGTAGACAAAGCAATGCTATACATAAATGATCCTAATATCTCTGATAATAATATCCAGGCTTCTTAAATTTTAAATTCAAATTATTTGTCAACTTGATCAGTTAAATGCAAATATTTTTATGTTTGACATTTTTATGACTTTTCAAATGATAAAGCTTTTATGCACATAATGGTGTTGTGAATTCAGACATTTTCTGTTCGACAATCAACTCATCAATCCCATGTTGAGGGAAAGACAGCTTGAAGTAGTGTGGGTAGCCCACTGCATTGCGAGACAATCTATTCACAGCTATGGCACAATCAGTAATTTTCTTGTCTCTGAGTCAGATAAAATGGGCGCAATTTCCACCTCAGAGATTCAAACATATTGTCCTCGTTAACACTCCCAGGTAGTGGAGTAATGCTCTTTTGTCAAAGGTACACTTAATGTAGTTCCCATCTTCTTTCTCTAATGGGTATAAGATGTCTCAAGTCATTTTAAAGTAGAGCACTGTTTTCCTGGTGTCCGAGCTATTAAGTTCTGAGGAGAGACTATAAAAAATTAGGCCTGTCTTCACTCAAATTTAGACAGTTAAGTGGTGATCTGATTGAAGTCTTTAAGATATAAACAGAAAAAGACATGGTAGATAAAGTTAAACTACTTCCATTGGTTGGAGATTGGAGAACTAGGGGGCATCTTCTGAGATGTAGGGTCAGACCATTCAGGAGAAATGTTAGGAAGCACAAATGATGGCAGATGTCAGGAACTCTCTTCCAGAAACAGGAATTGTTGCTGGATCAGTTGCTAATTTAAAATCTGAAATAGTGAATCTCTGTTAAGCAATGGAGTTCGGCCATAAACCAGTCAGGATCTCATTGAATTTTGGAATACACTTGAGGGGCAGAATGGCCTCCTTCTCTTCCTATGTTACTATGTTCCTATTTGTCCCCGAATCTACATCTGAAAAATAAATAATTTGTGGAAGCTTGCTGTGAATAAGTTGGTGACCACACTTCTAAATTTGAACAGTCACTACACCTGAAAAGTAACTCAGCGACTGAAGCATTTAGGATGCCCACAGGTCGCCTTTTGAAATGTACTACAGAAATATTGCACTATGCAAATGCAAACTTTTCTCAGTTCACTGTGCTCAATTTCCCTCATTAGTCATGCCCTCACTTCTTACAGGAAATTTGTCAGTTAAAATGAATATTGCAAGAGTCACAGTGTTTGATTATTTCTGATGGATTTAATTGAAGGTATTATTTTTGGTCATGGGGAGTCATGGAAGCAAATGCGAAGATTTACCCTCATCACGTTACGAGATTTTGGAATGGGAAAAAAATCCATTGAAGACAAAATAATTGAGGAATCAGATTTGCTGGTAAAAATGATTGATTCTCATAAAGGTGAGTTTGTGTAAGGTAAATGAACAGAATTACCATTGTTTCTATTCTTTGTGTGTTTTATTTATGAATGCAAATGTACATTAAAGAATCACAGAAACCTATATCACCTTTGCATATGGAAGGAGTTTGAAAAATTCTGGTGAGAGTGTCTGCTATCTCCTGTCTATCTTCCTTTAACAGCCAAGGTAACAAGCTTCAGGGCCTTACCTGAAGAGCTGTGCAACTCTGATTTCCTGTAAAGGATCAATACACGATTGAGAGTGATCTTTAAAATTTCTTTTGCAGGCCAACCGTTTAATCCAACTCTCCAAATGAACTGTGTTGTGGCCAATATAATGTGCTCTATAATTTTTGGTGGCAGATTTGACTATGAGGATGAAAAGTTTGTCAGCTTAGTAAAGAGAATAAATGAAAACATTCAACTTTTTGGTTCACCTGCAGTCCACGTAAGTCTTATCTTTCATTTGAATAGTGATACATTCCAGAAAAGATCATTTGCAACTTGCAATAATTGGAAAGGGTCTGTAAGTGGAGTCTCAGTAAACCTGTGGTGCAGTATAATTGGCCATTAATTGCCCAGTTAAGGCCCTTAATTGGACTGAGGGCAGGCAGGCTGCCCTGGGCTTGGCCATCCGACACATAAAATGGTGGCTGAGTTTGGGGATGGGCAGGTGGGTGGCAATGTCGTCCGTAGAATTTTACAGCCTCCTGTGACTGCAAACGTGCTAACAAAACTGTACCCTACAACTCAGCTTTGAATAGTTCAATATGGAATCCAGTAGTGAATTCCAATAGCTAAAGACGCTTTGAGAAAAGAAATCACTGGACATCGATGTTTGAAATGAGGTATGAACTCTTATTTTCATAGTTACAGTCCTGGTTCCAATACTTTGAGAAATGAAAATACCCGCTCAACTACCTTGTCAAGCTGCCTCAGAATTTTGAGTTTCAGAAAGATACTTATTATT